TTATTCTCATTCACATATTTAATTACCGTGCAAGGATTTTTAAGTCCTAGATTAGAAATAAAGAAAATTTTTTCCCGATTTCAAACTATTTAAAAATTATATTTTTTTCCAAAAATTTTTTTCCCTTTTTCTACACAATTAAATAAAATAATAATGTCATGTCTTTGATTACAATTTAATAATTAAAAAATGCAAAGGAAAAGAACAGAAGACAGAGAAAAACTCCATTTTCAATTCAATTCGAAATCTTTCTTTTCTTTTTGAAGATTTTGAACTTTTGTTCTTCTGAGTTTTTATTTTTCTTCCCGAATTTTGTACTTAGTCCCTTGTACAGATACTACAAATAATTTTCTTTTAGTTTTATGCTAAAATATTTAAAAATGAAACTTAAATAAGCAAATGAAGAAAATTCAGGATACAAGCTATAATATAGACAAAAAAGAAAAATAAAAAAAAGGTTGTTGTTTAAAGGAAGAATTTAATATTTAACTTCTAATTACTTTGAATGATGGCAGATGTTAAAGGAAAAATGGAAAGAATAAAAAAATTACCAAAAAAAAAATGAAAATTTCCAAAATAAATGTTGTTTTTTTTTTCTCTTGGTTTTTTGTTTTCCCTCTGCAAACAAGAAGAAATTGTTTTTTCCTGTTTTATAAAGGACACACAATACAAAATAACAAAAGTACAAAATGAAGAAAAAAACTAAAACTAACTTTGTGCATAGAGAAAAGACTCGTCCTTTTTAATTCCTTTTTTTTTTCTTATTCGTTTTTTTGTACTGCATTCTGTAAGGGAATTGTCCTCTTTAACTAAAAAAAAAAAAACAAAACTGAAAAACTTTTTAATACCGCATAATACTGAAGATAATTACAAAATTATACAAGTAGCAATGATAAAAAAATTCCTTAAGTAAAATAACATTAAATTTTTTTTTATGATATTTTTTTTTTTAAATTTTAAATTTAATTTTAATTAAATTTTAAGAAAATAAAATTTTTTATTAAATGTTCAAAAAAGATATTATAAAATTTTACATTAAAATTTAAAATTTAAGGTCAGCGCCTTCTTAAAGGTTAGTGCCTACCATATTTTAAAAATAGTTAAATTTTGTTCCAAGGATATGCTCTTAAATTCCAAGAAATATCAAAGGATTATAGAATTAAATTGAACAATTATTAATTACGATTAATTTTTATTGACAGATTGGCTATTAATGAAAAATTGGTAAAATCTTTGAAAAAAATGGACAAAGAATTGCGACATTTAGGTGGTAACCCTTTAGTAATATGTGAGATCCGTTAGATGATAATAGATTTTTTTAATTTCAAATATCACTTACAATCATTGAATCACATTAAAGAATATACGTACATAAATGTAACAATTCCAATTTGTTTCAGTTCAACGTCTTCATTACGAAAACCTACCGCCATTTTATTAGACTCTCGCCCGCTTTTCTACAGAGTGAACAAAAAATAAAGAGTCTTTCCTGTCTCATCTCATTATTTCAACATTGCCTGTGTTACTGCTACTCATAGTTTGTTCAATCAATCGTATCCTAAAGTAACACCACAATCAAAAGAGTGGGTAAATAGCCAACAAATCTAGTACAAAATTCACTTATCTTAAAATATACATTAAAAAATATAGGTTAAATTTTTCATTGCTTTATAAAAGAATTAAAGTTCTACTTTCTCTTAAGTAGACTTTTTCTGAGTAAACTCTTTTTCTACATCTTTTATTAAAAATAAAGTTGGCCGTCAAATCAATGGTTTGTAATGTAGCATTTTTCCATTCAACAAGTGAAAATACTGTTTTTAAAAACAATCTGGCTATGTACTATATTATTAAAACTACATTCGTTCATATACGAATATATTTCAAAAATTGCATACAATTAGGATGAATAATTTCTGCAATCTTTGAAATAAACCAAAAAAAAATTGAAAGAGGCGTTAAAATAATGCTCGAATTTAAGGTATATTTGCATGATTTAAGAAAGATAATTATATTTTTAAATGGCATGGCATTTACCGTTAGTTTTCTGAAATTATAGCAATTTAGAAAAACTTACAGTTTCGGAATGCTAAAAATTTACATTTTACTAATTTCGGGAAGGAGGTGATAACTTGAGAGAGGTTGGAGATGGAAAAGAATTTTCTTCAAACGAAATGAACTATTTGTAAGAAACGGATCTTAGATAATGGTAAATTTTAATGGTCATTTTATTTTTTTATAGTTCAAATATACTGTACTGAGTTGGAAAAAGCCAGCCGCTGCTTTTCTACTGTGTTTACAGTATTTGAGAATGTTTCTGATTTTGCTATTATAGCTACTTAAAAAATGGCATTTTTAGGGCCTTTGCAGAGAGGGAGTCTACGGAAAGATGGACGGACAGAGTAATAAGCACTTTTTTCAAACTTTTGTTGGCGGAAATTGTAAAAATTTCTGAAATTATACATTTTAAAACTTCTTATATCCTTATCAATAGTTGGTTTTAATGCCATTTAATAATAGTTATGTGCTATAATCTACCATATACTCAAATTTTTTTTATTATTCAACTATAGAATTACATTTCACTTCAGAATGTCATAAAAACTTCCAAGAAGACTTTAATACATCTGAAATTTCACATGAAAAGTTTCTCTTTAACATTTTGATTTAAAATCTTAAAGTATCATAAAAAATTTCTTTTCTTGTTCTTTTCTTATTCCTTACATTTAATTCAATCCTAATTCCTAAAATACTAAAATGAAAATAATTCAATAAACAAAATAATATACAAGATACGGGGAAAAAATAAATGATCCCGATTACAATTTTCTTAAAAACTTTTCTATATCCAAATACAAGTAAAATTCAATATATACAAACATGTGCTAAGCATATAAAAGGATCAAAAATTTAATATAAAAAAAATAACTATAAAATTTTACAATACGACGCGGCAAATAAGATGCTATAACACCTGACCAGGTCGTAAATTTTCACTTTTTCACATAGGATAATATGATTAAAAAAAAAAAAGTAAAACAAAAATAAATAAAAGTTTTGCGATTACATACATTTACTTACATACTCGCACCTCAACTTCTCCCATAAGAACTCCAAAGAGAAAATTCATCTTCAAATTCTTACTTATATTTTTTTTTCTTTTCTCCTTCAAAGTTTATTTTATGATTTGTTAAGAAGTCAAAAAGTAATAATTGGGAAACAGGTGCTTCTTATTGATAAAAAGCCTAAATAAAATGAAAAAAAAACAAAAATCTCAAGGATTGTTCTGAAAATAAAAAAAAAAAAAAATAATTGTAACAAAGTATAAGTCCTGATTTAAGGATCTCATTGTGTTGTCATAAAAATAAATAAATTGAATTTTTATATATAACGTTTATATACACACACATATACATCTATAATATAAGATTTAGGATAAAGGATGGTAATTTTATGGAATTTTCTTACCTTTAACAAAAAAACAAACAAAAAAATGAAGAAGAGAAGCAAAAATTTATTACACAAAGATTATTATCGTAATAAAAATGTCAAAAATTTTAAAAAAGGAATAATTATTACTAATTTACTGAATAAGTCATTAACAGTGTCAGTAAGTTAACAATTAATTATAAGATTTTAGGAGAAAGTACATTAAAAAATTTTCTAATAAGTTTTTAATAATGCTAGGATTATTTAATATTAAATTCTTTCTTAATTATGATAATTTATATTGTAATTATTATTAAAAATTATTTAATTAACATTCCATTACAATAAAGCCAATTATAAAGTTCATTACAGGTAATTGAACTTTCCGAGAGGAAAAAAAAGGATGAATAAGAAGCTCAAAATATTTTTGAGCAAAGAATTATAGTTAACATTAATTGAGGCAGAAAGAAAGACTTTATAAGTCATAACAACATCAAACAACAGAAAACAGTTATTTAATTAAAGGATTACGATTAAGATGAAAAGTAAAAAATTCTGTGGTTTTAGAAAACGCACTATAAATTGGAAAAATATGTTTCGGACAAGTTTTAAGTTTAAAGTTTAGACATAATTAAAAAAATTTGATGTGGCTATCCAGCACATAGCCGACAGCGAAATTGATTTTCTTGTTTGAGGAAAGTATTGCATAAAATCATGAAAATGTTCTTTGAACACTCCGTTCATAAAAGTATATATTTGATTCCTATAGCAAATGTTCTTTTTATACATTCCAATTTCCCTATAGATTGATTAATCAGTAATTTCCAATTGCTAACTGAATTTAAATATTGAATTGCAATTAATTGCGTCTATGATAAAAATTTTCAAATTGTCATCTTGTCTATATTTATTTTACTAGTAACCACAGAATTTCTTTTAAATATTCGAAATTGAAAAGAATTTTCTTTAAATTACTTTGATTTTCTGCGAAATTATTTTATGTTTTTTAACATTAATCTATAAAAAATCGAAAGCACAGTACGTATATACGTTGAATAGAGTATTCATGGAACCATTTGTATTCCATAGGCCAAAACAAAAGTCACAAAGAAATAGTAAGAGGAATACAGGCAGCTATTAGGAAAATTATAGAACAAAATAGGTATTTTAATGAAAAATAGAGAAGAAATTTAACAGAAATTTCATCAAAGCCTTTTATGGCCAATAAAGCTAAAATGAACCAGAATATTTGGAAAGATTGCCTATTACTTTAGATATCAAAAAAATATTTCATGAGCTGCAATCACGGCAATAATCGAATGCGAAATTCAACTGTAAAATTTTTCTTAAAGCATAAAGCAGTATGTAATAAAATTATTTTACGTGAACATTCGAAAGGAAACAAAATTAAAAAAATTCAGAACCCTTTATAAAATTATTATAAGTTATTTTCACATATTTAGCAAACATTTTGCGACTTCTTCAGTAATATACCAATTCGTATGTGGTTAAGAATTTTAATGAACTCTGAATCAGTTTGTCTATGGCCTTGTTTAAGTTCAAAAACAACTTACATACATTTTTCCCACGATTCCCCTTTCAATCGGAAATCATTTATTATTTGTTTAACTGGTACTCCATTTACAAAGTCTCGTTTAATAACTGGAGGTAATTGAAGAAAATCTCCACAAAGAATAAATTGCATACCTACAAAAGGCTTGTCATTACGCCGAATATAACGTGCTACAGCTTCAATTTTATCAAAATATTGGCAATCAACTATTGAAATTTCATCTATTATTAACGGTTTACGTTTTCTCCAATTCTGAGCGGAAACTGGTTTGGAACCCATCTCATAACATCTTTACAAACTAGCTTCTCCACTTCCAATTCCAGCAAACGAACGAAGATACACCCCATCAACTAAAAAAGCTGCAACACCAGTAGAAGCTGTAGCAATAGTTGAATCATGTGGTAAAGAAGATATAATTTTGCCCAAAAGAGAACTTTTATCCGTACCTGCAGATCCCGTGAAAAATACACCTTTTCCATTTACACATATTTGTAAAACTTGTTTCTGTTCGTCAACTAAGGCCAAATTTTCTTCAGTCGATTTTTCTGGATGATCGCTTCATCAAGACTTTCATTTCCAGATAACTTGAAAAACATTATTTTTAAAAAAATCTACTAAAGATGCCGGTGGAACATTTGATATTAGTAACACACATTTTTCTGCTTTGAAAATGATACTAGCTTTTTCTTCAGTCATAAATTTTTTATGAACCAACATATCTTTTAAAACAACTTCATATATGAAATCTTATGAGAAATAAAGCTAATACATCCTTCTAAATCTTTAATTTTTACACAAAATTTTTTATTTAAGAATTTTCATGTATGAGAAAATAATTTTAACAATCTCATATTCCATATATAATAAATCATAATTTCTTTAATGATGTACCCTCTATTATAATACTATTTAATCCTTGTAAAAATTTCTTATTTTTCAACTAAACAATTTTTTAATAATAATTTTTCCTAATGGAAAATTCAATAAAATTCTACTTAGTTTATAACCTAGTTTAAAAAAATATGATCTTATAATCCAATGTCAACAATCCTTTTCTCTCTACATTATGTTTATACCTGTACCTATACTTACCTATACATACCATCGTATCATAATTGTTATATAATATATCATATTGTTATATTATATAAAAGTTTTATAGACCTCTTAATAATGTAGCAACAAGAATAATAATAAATATTGTAAAAAATTAAAAAAAAAAAGAAAACAAGAGAAACTTTTGATAAAGATAATTTTAAAAATGACATTCTCCTTTAGGCAGAAGTGAGTATATGCTCACTCTTTCATTCACATAGCATATTATATACCTTTTGTAAAATAAATAACATGTATGTATATGTAGGTATATTTGTGCATATTTTAAATATATTAGAAAATATAAAATATGAATATAAATTAAGATAAACTTGAGTCAATTTATATCTTTATCCTTTTTTGGCATACATTTTCAAATTAAATTAGAAAAGAAAATGTGCTTATTAATTTCATTCTGTTCGACCGTTTGTGCATCTATTTACAAAAGTTGTAGACTTTTTGAGATAGAAAGTTAAAACTTTTTATATACAAATGGACCAACGTAAAGAAATAACAATTTACTTCTTCCAACGTTAAATATCATAGGTAAACATAACCAAATTGAAAATATTCTTTTACTATTAATTTACTAAACAAACACTTATTTTACATCCATATATTTTTAATTTTACATACCATTTTTTGAAATTTGAGGCTTCAAATTTCTGGGAACAATACTTCTTTCCACCACTTCCAAATTATCGGCTCTTAGAACTAACAAAATTTCAATTTTCGACATATATTAAGGCCAGAATTCGTTTAGCCTTTCCAAAATTTCTAAAAAGAAAATGTAACTAACAGTAAAAAGTAATTAAAAATTAAATTAATTTATTTTAACTTACTAAATTGGGTTATTTTCAAAGCAATTCTTGATTCTTAATTTTTTTTCATCCTAAAAGTATGCAATAAATAATAATTATTCCATAATAAAAATTTTGGTACATTTTATTATTGGGAAAAATTTTAAGTACGAGATTGTCTTTTTTAAGAAAAGTATTTTGACATGTTCAAAGGAAATGTGCTACATTACACGCCATTGATTTCCTCACAATTTATTTATTTTTTCTTATTTTCTTATAAACTGCGTTGTCGTTCTTTTTACCCATTTATTTTTTCTTTTTTCAAGTACAAAATATTTTCTACTATCTTTATTATGCCTTTAAGGTTAGGCGTTTCCGGTTCCTTCCGTATTTCTTTGTTTATGTTGTTTTGTTGGATTTTTTTTTTATATTCGTACTTTATGTTTTTCTTACTTGTTATGCTATTATGAAAAATTGTACATGGAAAAAGGAATTACTGTTTTCCTTAGTATTGTTATTTTGGGTTTTTTTTTTTTATAAAAATATGTTTTTGCTTTCTGTTTTTTATGAAAAATTGTTCTGTGTTGCAGTGTACAAGAGAAAACACAACATGAAAAAATATGTACAAAAAAAAAGTATGGGGTAAATACAGAGTTAGAGAAAAAGGACATTCAGACATTTAGAAAATTAAACAAAAATATTTATGTATATTATATGTATGTAAATATAGAAATTGTGTTACTACAGAAATAATAATATATAATAATGATAAAAGAAGGAAATGCTTAGTAGTAAGCGAAATATTTAAAAATAAAAGGAGTAAAATTGAAATATAGCTAGACATGAAATATAAATGATGGTATACTTACGAGTTATATGATATTATGATTTAAAATATAAGAAGTTGTATGCAGTCTATACTGGCTCCGATACAGAATAATTGCAATGAGAGAAATGAAATAGGTTTGTGGATACAAGAGAAACTGTCTGAATAAAATTTAGAAATATTTTATAGGTATTACTTCATATTGAATCCGATCCATTATTACATTCTACCAAATAAAAAAAATTTTAGGTTGCTTTAAAGCATATTCTGTATTGGGATATAGTGGACGGAAGTTAATGAAATAGCGGATAACATGAGGCGAGAAAGAAGATTCATTCTGATTCTGTCAATGGTTTAAAATATCCTGAAATTATTACTGGTATAGAATTGCATCTCACACGACAATGCAAAGTAAGCTAAGAGAATATCAAAAAAACAAAGATGATCAGAGTAATGGATAAATTTTTCAGCGGGACGAAAGATAAAGTCTTCTCTTATATGATTATAATCAGAAACTCTGTAAGATATATTAGAAAGAACCTTCTGTTCTAAAAGAGAAAAAAACAAAGATGGTTGCTAATTTTGTGGTTTTGAGATCTTCTCGGTTGATATAAAAAATCATTACGTCGAATAAAAACACTGGACAACGGTATAGAATGCTCAGCACCGTCTTATATTGCAATTTTCTCAAAATTTCCTTAAAATTTATTAAATTAAATTTTATTTTGAAAAATATTGCTTTTTTAAAAATTTTTTTGTCACACTTCTCTTCCTAACTTTCTTTTATCTGTGTAGTGTAAAACATTTACAATGAGAGCAAAGATTTTCTTACAACCAGTTAAGATCAAGGTATGGTTAAAATGAAAAGATGTATAATATATCTGTTGGGAAATAAATTAGTTCTAGACAGAACAGTGTTAATACAATGAAAAAAAAAAAACGAAAATATTTTCATTATTTAAAAATAAAAATAAAGTTTGCAATAAATTAAAAATATGATTTAAGTATTTTTAACAGAAACAATTATTGTAAAAAAAAATATTTTTCCATTTTAAATTTAAAAATATTTTTAAAATTATTATAAAATTATACGTGGCTTAATAGAGCCCTTCAAAACTATGACATGAATTGAAATTTTTGTTTAGCCTTAGAAAAACCTATAATGTGTTGATAAAATTATGTGAGGTAAATTTAGATAATAAATATTACTAAATTGAATTAGAAATCTATTTTAAGAAATTTTTGCCTTAATAAATTTTCCTTCTTGCATTTATGCAAAATTTATGACGGCATAGGACAGGAATCGCATTGCGAATTCTATTTATTCCATATTTGATGTAACACTATATTTGAAAATTTGAAATTTGTCATTTAAATTTACAAAATTATTAGCCTGATTTATAAAGGATTCTTTAATTAAATTAATACATTTCATATTTGTGAAATGGGGGATTGTCTCAAAAAGTACCGAGGCTATGAAACTGTTCAATCTGGAATGGCGCAACGCATATACTCGTCTCATAACACGAACTCATGTTTGAGCTGTAATGACAAGTATATTCAAAGTTAATTTCATTTTAGTCAAATAAATATAGAGAAAATTATTGGCTCCTAGGTCGTAAGTCTAATTTGGCAATTGATAATAAGATATTAATTTATAGCTAAATCATTAAACCAATATGGCGATATGGCATTCAACAGTGTTATCCGCAGGAACTTAGGAATTCCTTTGGTTATGGATGAAATTAGGAGTTGTGCTAAAAAGCATAGGACTTGTCTAGAACAGCATGTAAATATGGAAGCAGCTCGGCTGCTAGACAATGGCGTTATGACAGAAAGACTTAAATGAACAAGACCATTCGATTTAGCACGAAGTACCAATTTCCTTATGGAAGGTATTTACTTCCTGCACGGAAAAACCAAGTTAGCGCGGAGGTAATAGTTGGTCTGTAGGACCAGTTTTATCCGTTCAGAATTTAGGTGATTTTTTAGGGTAGGAGTCACGCTCCCCCACTCTCGGAGGAAAAAGGCAGATGTACTATTCAAGTACTTGTCCTTGTAAAAAGTAGTCTTATCAACAACGTTTATTAAATGAAACTTTTAAATTAAATCATTTTCTTTTAATTTAATTTTTAAAAATAAAAGCACTACTAGTTTCAAATTAATTTTATATTATTGTTGCGAATCATTTTCTAGCTACATATATGAAACTTTAACTTCAATAATATTAAAATTCAATAAAAAGTTCAAATAAAGCTATTTAAACTTGAAAAACTCATAAAATTTTCTATATATATACAACATTTAATAGTAGCAAGTCCTATATGTATACCTCAATCATTTTGTGAATTTTATTAGAAAACTAAAACTAAAAAATAGCTAAAATAACATAAAAAATTTCTAGCACCCATATTCTCACAATAATAATTTAAAGTGATCTCCAGACATTTTTATATAATCGCAATCAAAATGTATAGTAAAAAATAGAAAAAAAATAAATAAATCTTGACGATAGTTTTCAAATCCTTGTTAAAAGTATTCAATTATAGTATGCAAAA